CCATGTAAAAACAAAGTAAAACAACAACAACAACAAAAACCAAACAAACAAAACAATGGAAAAAAATCTGTGCTCTTTTCATAATTCTGGGATCTGAAGTATAACACATTGCTATCCAGCATCCACAAGTGTCTTGGGCTTGAGACATTTTCTTCAAGTTTTCAATTCACCCTCCTGTGACTCCTCCAGTGTGACTGTAGTTTATACCCTGCTGTGACAAAGTAAATTCTCAGGAATTTTTTTTTTTGGGGGGGGGGTTCATGAAGATTTATAAACAAATTTGAAACTGAGGTTTCTGGCTTACTTTTTTCATCCTTAATTAGTTCATGAAACCTACTTTTTAGTTGCCATGATATTTAAAATATTATATATCATAGTTCCATGATCAACCAGAAAATAGCTTTTAAAATGTTGTATTTTAGGTTATAACATATCTAAATGATATTTAATATGTATTATTTGTATCATAATTACTGTTCATACATATTTCATAGTACTGACAGTTCTGTCTATTACAAGAGCAAAAATCAGTAGCCTTTCACACCACTAGAAGTTAATTTGTAATTTATGATGCTGGGTTAATGATGCCATTGAAACAGTGCTTGGTAGATACTACTTGGAAAAACTTAGGAACACAGTTAGAAGCAAGGAACTCTCACATACACAGACTATTTCTGTCAGTGGGTTTTTAGCTTAGTATGAGGTTTGGCAGGCCTCTTTTTATGGTCACTTGTGATTAATCTGCTGTTTCAGACCCATTGCTATCCAGCATCCACAGAAAGGAATCCATCCAAAGGAAGTCTCATTACCATTATACATACTTTCTATAAATTATTGAAGCCTTTTTGCTTGTTTTCAGTATAAATAAATTTTAATTGTCACTTTATCCTGATAATGGGTGTTAATTATCTTACAAGATTGATCTTACTGGCAGTGTTGGAAAAGTGACTGACAGCCATTTTACATGACCTCCACACACCAATTCAACATTCCCATTCAATGTATCTATGTACAAAGATTAGTGACCGTGTAATGTCCTGTGTTGAAGGGAGTCTCATTGATTCTAGAAGACAGAACACCCACTCTCTGGCCAGGTCTGCAACAAGCAACGGTTTTAGATAACTTCTATGAACTGTCTTTGAGGTGACAAAGTAAGCTGTTGCTATTAATATGATGTTAAAACCTATATGATCAAAATAAATCGAAATAGATAGAGATGGTTCAATGCATCTGGCACATCAAGTTTATGGTAATTTGGTGGTATTTTGTTTTTGAGGTTTTGTCTGGGGTACTATGAAGTCTGTCTATAGTCAGAGAATACAGTTTGTATAATTTCAATGATTTCCCACTTAATCAACCTTATTGTCCGTTCAGAATGGTCTACACTGGAGAGCAAGCTCTCCAGGTGAATTTGAGAAGAATATTTTATGTTTTCGGCAACTTGGAAGTAGAGAGGTCTATAGACTGCGGTTTGATTTGGATTTTAGAGCATCAGCTGTTCTCTCTTCACATCCTGCTACATTTTTTTCTTTTCAGTGGAAGGTGCTCTTCAGCACCATTATTGCAACTTTAATTGCAGGGATACTTCTCAATTTTATTCCTGTTCCTTTTAAGCCATCTCTTTCTCTGTCGCTATTCTGTATTTGTTCAGGCGTCATCCTCTGCCTTCCTTTATCTCTCTGTATGTGGCTCCATTTAACTTTTTACACACTGATTACGAGACTGAAAGTGTTTGTCCAGTGGGCTAATGTTTAGTCTTCCTGAGGAAAACAATATTTGACTTAATTTTCTGTCTATAACATCCATACTGAGTGATTCTCTCTAGTTTAATAATTTGATTCCTTCAGATCTGGGCATTTTAAATTTTATTATGTGACAACTGAAGAAGTCATACTATTGCTCTTGTCAGCGTCTGTTGCTGTTCTGCTTGTCATACAGGTTGTGTAGCTATATCTGTATGTAGTGATATCTGCTTTATGTAAAGGCTGTGCTCTGTCATTTGGATAGTTGAATGACTGCATGGGGCTGTGCTCTGTTTTGTCTTGTTTTACACACTGTAGCCAACATACTTTCTAGCTCTTCCAGAAGAGCTCTCTGTCTAAGTGGCATCCTTAGTTGTCCAACTCTCTGTCTGCAGAGCCCTTATCTCAGTTACTGATTTTGGGGGGTTTGCAGGTCAGCAAGGAAGGGCAGAGTTGAAAGCCTTCCCCAAATTTTTCTATGGGTACACACAGCATAAGTCTTTCTGTTGTTCTAGATTCCAACAGACATGATGAAGTTTTTACATCCCAATGGATCCTTTTCTCTACCTTTCAAACTTTTTTTTTTTTTTTTTTTTTTTTTTTGGTTTTTCGAGACAGGGTTTCTCTGTGTAGCTTTGCGCCTTTCCTGGAACTCACTTGGTAGCCCAGGCTGGCCTCGAACTCACAGAGATCCGCCTGCCTCTGCCTCCCGAGTGGTGGGATTAAAGGCGTGCGCCACCACCGCCCGGCCAAACTTTTTACTTATTTACAAATTTCCTTAAATATTCCCCATTACATTAGGCAGCCACAAAGGCAAAGTATTTGCCTTAAGTGTTTTGACAAATGCCCATGGGAGAAGCCATTCTGCCCTGGGTGACATGAGAGGTCCTTTTCTGATGGTGCTTCTGGGAACCCTCAGAAAGGGCAGAAACTAACAGTTTTGGTAAGTGAGGCACTGAGGGATCTCCTGTTTTATTCTGTCCATTTTAATGGCCGATGAGCTACATTGAAGAGTCAGGCTGCCACAGGGGGCTGTGGGGCTTAGAGTGAAAACAACCCAAAGCTCACTGCTATTATCAAGGTTCGGCTGCTTTGCTTGTGTAGTCAATGAGAAATGGGGAAGCTTCGTTAATTTTCAGTTCTGATAAAGTTGATTTGGGCTTCCTTTTCCATTCATTTCGTTTCTTTTTGTTGGTTTCTTTCTTTTTTCTTTCCTCTCCTTTACCTCTTTAATGTTTTTGGAGGGTTACATTAGTCAGCTTTGTGTCGCTATGATAAAAAAAAAAAAAAAAACCAAGACAGACTACTTATTTAAAAAATGCAGTTTATTACTCCATAGTTACAGAATTTCAAGACCAAGATCACAGGGCCCATTGGCTCAGGCCCTTAGTATGAATGGCAGATGGAAATTGCAAATCAGAGTGAGTGATAGAGAGAGAAGACACACCAGGGTCCCTCGGTCTCCTTCCTGTGCACATCCCTGTTGACCTAGGACTCCACTGGGCCACTTTGCATAGGCACACAGCACCTGCAGCGCCATTGGACTAGGCATTAAGTCTTCGCATTGTGGCCTTTTGGGGACAATCATCTAACCACAGAGAGGGCTAAGTCTCCAAAAGTCCTTACAGAACTGTCTTCCTAATTCCCTCCATAAGAGACTGAATCTTTCATCTAAACTTTCAACTCAGCCTTGAGTTTAACATGAGGGCTTAATTAGAATTGTAACTTCATATTATTGAAATAATGAATACAAAATAAAACCAAATAAAAATATCTAAATACACACATATTTCATGGAAAAGTTCAGTTCAGCAGAAAATCTTAACTTTGTACTTACTAGAAATCTAGTTTTGAATGTTTTCCCTGTAGCCTGTTTCAAAGTAAGACTAAAATTCATCTCCCTATTGTTAAACATGGGAAGACCACCAGTTAAACAGTCTGAGTTTATACCCATAAAAACATTAACCCATTTAAGGATATATCAAACTCAACTTTTTAAAGAAGGGCTTGTCTTTTGTTATTGATTTTGCAGATGTTTGGATGATATTCCTGGGCATTGTTTCTGTCAATCCATCAACATTTTTTCTATCTCTTTTGCAGAAAGTCTTGGCTAGCACAGCATGGGCACTAATGCCTCAAGGTACCAGAGAGCTGGCTTAGTTACAGAGGGACTTTGATTGCAAATAGCAATAGTTCTACTGGTTTCCACCTGCAGACACCACTCTCCTGTTAAAATAGCTGTAGCCAGAGCTGGGCAGCTCTTTTAGAAATGTTTACTTCTTCCTCCTATTTTAATTCTGCTTTTGATACTTTTGTACCCACATGTACTCTCTTTAGTCTGGAGCATTTACCTCTCTATTTACAGTTCAGATGGACATATTTCATAATTTCCTTCAATTGGTGGGTCAAACATTTCATGTTTCCTGTTATTTATAACAAGACAACTATAGGCTTAAAATGACTTACATTCATAAGAATTAAAAAAATAATAATTTGATGGCTAGAGCTCTGCATTTGACCTGTGTTTTATTCATTGTTCTAAAGAATAAAGCCTTGAAATCGAAATATCAGGCCAAATTTTAGAAATACTACTTCTAATTATGACAGTGTGAAATTGTCTAGAATCTGCCTAATATGGTGGTGTGTGCACGTGAGCACACAGGCTGGAGGCAAAGTCAGAGACTGGGACTGGAAGATAATGTTGGATTCTACTGGGGTCGTTCTAAGATCAGCAATTCCCAGTTCAGAGATACTGGTCTCTCCCGTGCATCTGTCTTTCCAGAGCCCATCAGTCATGCAAACCAGAAACATCTATGCTTTATCAATGTAATTTAAGAACAGTTTTGTCAAATCTCTTCATTTTTGCATCTTGTGCAAATGATAACATGTCTAGAGATGGAATAGCACAAACATTGTTTTCAGAGCAGAAATGGGCCCTGGGTATCCATATCATGTTCTTGGGTTGGTAGTCCTTCCCTTCTTCCATGAGCTTCAACAAAGCCCATCTTTCTTTGATTTTGAAAAAAAAAATCACTGCAGAATGCTTTAAAGTTGATCTGTATCTTGTTTGTTTTATAAAGGCACTATTGACAGTTCTATAACATTTTACTGAACCAGGAAGAAGGAAGACTCAGATTTATATCTAGTTTTATATATGTAAGTTTCAAAAAGAAAAGCCTTGTTATGAAAAAGCTTGATATGATTTGAGGGGATTCATTCACAGATTTCTAACAGGATAAAATGTTGGCAAATACAAACCGACAAGGATGGAGTAGAGGATGCCAGGTCGATCTGATGGAGGTTGGATGTTTCGGTCCTGATCAATGGCTTGGATAGGTGGGGTCACCAAAATGGGGTTCAGTTCTTCCTGGAAGAAAATCAGAGTGTTTAGCTGTGCTGCACACTCATACTTCAGGGAAAGCTGACACCAGGATGTTTCCTTGAGTTTGGACAGCTAGATATGCACTAAGCAGGCAGGGAAGCTCAAATGCCTGGGCTTATAATTTGACACTTTTCCCTAGTAGTTAATTCTAAGTCTGAAAAGGGAAGTAGTGTCTCTCAAATTCAAAATGAAAATGCGTAGTAGCTTTGTGCACAAAACCTTATCTAAAGGATTCCCCCAGGAGGAAGTTAGGGGAGAAAAATTATTACAGCCTTAAAGTGCTTAGAAGACTTAAGCGAAATGCAAAGACATGAAACAGCTCCTTATGTGAGTTCTCCCTGCTTTAGAAAATATTTGAGACTCTATTCTTCCATTCTTAAATAATTTATTTTATCCTGATAATTACAGTGAAGTTGAGGGGAAAAAAACACTCAAAATATATTTTAATTAGAAAGAAACCAAAGCCACACCATTCAAGTTTCATGTAATTAAAATAAAGTACACATTACAGTTGTGTTTATTTAATTGATAGTGGCCTAAAAAGATTCTGTTTAGGATGACAATAGATTCCTTTAAGTCAGTGTGTCTCAGTTTCATGTTCAGTGGTATCCACTGAGCTTTTAAGCTTGCCATACTGGTGTGGGAAAGGTGAGTAGGTAGATTAATCAGAGCTAGGCACATCGGTTTTCTTTTAGAGGACCCTGCTTATGTTTCCAAAAGCCACGTGGTGGCTCACAACTCTCTATAATTCCAGTTGCAAGGCTTCCAACACCTTCTTCTGAACTTCACGGGCACTGCATAACATGGTGTAGCCTACATACAGGTAGGCAAACATCATATTACACATAAATATTAAAATAAGTAAATCTTTAAAAGAGGATTGGAACACTTATTTTTTGAAAGGGACCAAGCAATAAGTTTAGACTCTTGTAGTCAGAGGTCTGGTGTGCCGCCTTTCAGCTCTGCCATTACAGTAGAAGATGCACAAGCAGACATGGCCCAGTTAAATGAGAAAACGGTGACATGCATGCCGAGGAAAACCATGGAAATCTTACTCAACAGACCAGCTTGGGAAATCCTATGGTAGATAAAGTGTTGAAAAGATAATATTTCCTGGAGGTCTCAGGGAATTCATTATCTGCTTTTCATAGTGACACAAAGAAAATGTTATTTTTTTTTACATACATTAAGCAATCATCCACTAATGTCTCCTTGAAATAATGCTCTTAGAACATAGTTTAGGAAACATTAAGGGTATACAACTCCCAAACAAAACACATAAATGGTAAGTCTAAAGGGAAATCAATTTTTCCTCAGTGTCTGAGAAAGTACTACAACATGCTTTTATATGATTTATTCTGAAATGAAGAACACTGAACCATGCTATGTACTGTTAGGCAAACCCAGTAGTTCAAATTCTCAGGGGACATTGTATGGTGTTTGCTTATGTTTAACATGAGCAATAATGTTATATATCCACAGGCAATTCTTTTTTATTAAAATATAGGGATGAAATATAATAATTGGCCGATTGTTAGTACCTCACATAAATCTCAGGGGCTGCATAATTGTTGATAAGCTTTCTAAGTGGTTTCACTATATTTTCCTATAAATAATAAGACATTGATAGGACCAATTTAGTAACATTGTATATCTTCTTTTAATGTGGATTTAGAACCATGGCTCAGAATCATATATCACCTCAGAATAAAAATTGTCTCATTAAATCCAGATGATTACTCTTTTTCTCTCCATCATACATATAGAAAACCTTCTAGAATTCCTCACTTTCCTCCCCTCCTCTCTTCCTCCATTGTTCCTCTCCCTGTACTTTATTTTTGGTCTCCTCTCTTTTCCTATCCCTCTCTCTCACATAGTACCTTTTCAATAGTAAGTTCATATCATATATAATAATGTATTTTTCCCTAAAATGAAAAATGTTCAAGGTTCTATCTTGGTTAGTTAAGCATTGAACAGTATCTTTTGGTCACACCTGAAGAGACCTTGCCTCAGAGTTAACTCATCCTTTAACTACTTTGCTGCTATGTCACTAATTACTTCTTCCACGGCATTCCATAAGCATCATTCTAGTAGACCCAGGGAGGCTCCTAAAAGCTGATGATTCTCTACAATTCATTCCTGTGTCCCAAAGTCAGATATTCCAAGGAATTTGAGAAGTCTCTGACTATTGGAGAGACAAAACCCATTTTCCTATTCACTCTTTGTAAGAAACTAGAATCTGAGCTATTTTCTTGGAGTATCAAGTAGAGAAACTTCCCTGTGACCCCCTCTACTCTTCTTGTTTCTGTAGCTCCCCCAAGCTACCAACCCAGAATAAGTTTTGGTTTCGGTAATTCATCAGGTATTTTAAAATCCACATTCATTAGTATGTAGATTTGTTGAAATGAGCAATGGAGATTTAATTACATTATTTAAAGTTACATAAACAATAAGAAAACTGAAAATAACACAGCGAAGAAAATCAGTGGGGATGGAGAAGTGTAAATTAGATTCCTCATCTTACATCATTGTTTGTTAATAAGTCTCATATAATAAAAAAGTGAGAACATGAAAGAGGTATGGATATGATTTAGAATTACTTTACTTGACATTAGAAGAATGAAAGAGTATGAACACTTCAGGAAACTTTGTCTAGAAGGAGAAAATGGAATATATATGTATATGTATACATATAGATTACCTATTATTTTTGGACTAGATCAGTATCATACATATACTATTTTATATTATAAAGAAATAAATATAGTAATAAGAATAAGAAAAGAGAATCCCTCTGGGTAAAAAGCTTCCATCTTTTCATAGAAGATCTGGATAATTGCTGATTTTAAATCTCTTGTTAGCATATGAGGACTGATATTTTCCCTTGTCCTCTATAAGCTTGAAGCACATATTTATAGAACTTTTCTCATCTACTATCATTCATGAGTTTGGCAGCAAACTTTAGGTTTATAAGTGTAATGGCTGTTATTTGTTGTCAACTTGACTACATCTGGAGTTATCTAAAAACCCAAGTTGCTGGGTACACCTGTGAGGGATTTTTAATTAATTGAATCATTTGAGGTACAAAGACCCACTTTAATTCAAGATCACTTGAAGCCAGAAGAACCACCCTAAATTTGGGCCACACTTTCTTGTGGCAAGCTTTGTGAAGAGCATTGAAGAAGGAAGCCTGCTCTCTTTGCCTGCTTGCCCTCACTCTCAATGAGAGTCCATTCCTTCACCGGTGTTAGAGCCTACTTTTTGGGGACAACTATGTGCACAGAAGACTAGCTGAAACATCAAGCCTTGTGGACTGAACAACTGCAGGATTCTTGGTCTTTCCATCAGTAGATAGCCATTGTTAGACCAGGTGGATCACATCCCATAAGACACTCTAACATACCACATATATGTTCTTTTAGAGAACCCTAACTAATACAATAGGTTAAAAAAAAGTCCTCAATGATAATAGAGATTACTTCTCAGACAAATCATTACCTTTAAATCTGAGAATTTTAAATATTATAGAATACTGAAGGTTATATTTAATTGAGGATGATTTTGTTAAAAAAATTAATAAACTTTTTACAAAATCATTTCAGTTTTAAATTTGCGTGTATTCATTAGAAAGCACAGTACAAATTGCATGCTTTCTGTTTTAAGCTTATGTCTACACTAAAATCTCTATAGTAGCTAGGACCAGGCTAAGGCAGAGTGTGAAGATAACTATGGAAATTTCAGAAGGATGCATTCAATGCAACAAGAATTCTTAGCTGAGAGAGCAGAGGGAAGAGGGCAGAGGACCTGGTTCCAGCTCAGTTGGGAGGTACTATTGTAGCCCACTGCACATCAAATGTTTAGCAAAATTAACCAGATATTCAATGATAAACTAACCCATTAATGTGCTACATAATCTATTCCACAAAGATGGCCCTCTAAGTGAAATAAAAGTAGAAATCAATGCAAGGAGATTCTAAATAGATACAAAAAATAGTCAATATTATTATAAGTCAAAAACTTCTTTGAAAAGTTATTGGTAGAGTTCTTGCATAGCATGGAGAAGATCATTGGTACAACTCCTAGTATTGTAAAAAAAGAACAAATAAACAACTATGAGTCAGGTATGACATGCTGTGCCCATGACACTTGTACTTTTGATGCTGACACAGGAGGATGGAAATTATCAAGCCAGTCTCAGCTGCAGAGTGAGAACATTTCTGAGTGCACGGCCAAATAAACAAATACACAAATACATAAAGCCCATTTTAAGATAACTTATTGCTTAATGATTAATTACTGAATTATACTGTACCTCACAGATATATACAATTATTATGTATGAATCAAAATTAGCTTATTGAAGTTCCATATGTAAATGATTACTATTCTAATTTGGTTTTTACACATTATATAATGTATTGAATTGTCACACTGCACTTCACAAAAATCTTATTAATAGCATAAATAAAAATAAGTTAGTAGAAATGTTAGTGTTTGCATATGAACGACAGTGATGTCTTTACACACTAAAACTTGCAAAGAACCACTGGAGAGTTGGAAACAAATTAGCTGAATATTCAATTAAGGGACTTAGTTTTAAAGAACAAGGTAAGCTCTAAAATACAGTGTAAAATGAATAAGGATGAAGCCATATGCATGGTGACATGTATAATATGACAAATGAAGTAAACAGGAGACATATCACTGTGCACCAAAATATCTTAGTTTTGGAACTTCCAGGAAAAAAATGTTTTCTTGTTCCAACTATTTTTTTCCTAATTAATCTGAGATATGTTTTAAAGACTTTGAATCTGGAATGTCAACCTATATAAAAAAGTCAAATAAAGATTAATACATGGTATGCTGACTTGCTCAGGAACACTGTAGTTCCCCTTTAGTGTATAAACTGAGTTCTTGAGAACATAATTCTTATTGCATGCAAGTGTCATGTGGCCATATGTAGAACTAGACCAAGGAGCATGTTC